AAGGATGGGTTGTTCTCAAGTACGGCCGGCTGTACTCTAAGAGCTCCAGCTTTCGCCAGAGAGTCTGCTTCTTCATTTGCCGGGACACCCATGTGACCGGGAACCCACTCCGCAAAAATAAAACCATTTGAGACATGAGCGAGTTTTTCACGCCTATTCCAGTTCTCCTGTGCGTCTCGAATTAACTTTGTTTCTTTTCGGCACGTCAAAGAAGAATTTCCATTCACAATTCCGACGGCTGTTCTGTTGTCTGTGTGCACTAATATATTAGTGGCGAATCGTGTGTTGGCAAATTGTATACAGGCAAAGAGACCTTGGCAAATGGCAATTATTTCCGTGTCGATAGGTTCGACCTTGCGGTCTATGCCGAAGCTCCCGGTCTTAACTTTTCTCCCTCCTTGGAAAATGACAAATCCGCCCCCCGCCTTTCCGTCAGCAGTACGCGAACCGTCTGTAAAGAGATGTATATCGTGAATTCTGCGGGGAACGTTTGCGTCAAACTTCCGTTTCTTCCCGACAAGAGGAACATCTTTTCCGTCAACTGAAAGTGGCAACAGTTTTGTCGTTCTAGTGAGGCGGGTGAAGGCCTTACCGAGTGCTCTTTTCTTCAGAGGGTGTTTGTCGTCCAACGTTTGAATCCGAAGTGCTTGCCGTAAACGAGTCTCCTCGAGGATAAGGTTGACTGGGGGGATACCAGCTTCTCGATAAAGAATTGGTAGCGGTGTAGTTTTGAATACTGGCAGAATTGATCTCAACCCTAGTTTAACAGACTTGGAGAGAAGCGATAGGTGTGAGTTGCTTCTGTTTTTCAGGTCCTTCTGTATTCCTCTACTCCATGAGTATACTGTTTCCCCTGGCCACCAGACTTCTGCTCCATATGTGGCAATAGGTATGACACACGATTTGACTGCCTGTCTAACCAAATCCGGGCGAGACCCTCGCTGAGAATTATTGAGACGTTTCAGGTGCATTGCGACTGACGACGCTTTAGCTGCCCACTTTTTCACATGTGTTAAAAAGGATAACTTCCTATCCAGCCAAAATCCCAGCCATCTAGTGACTTGATTGGGGGCTATGCACCAGTCGCCCATCCGAACAATTGGGTACTCCTTAGGTTTGGGGGCTTGTGTGAAGTGTTGTAGTTCGCTCTTTTCTTGATCGAAAGTGATAGCATTACCTATCCCCCATTCTAAAACCTTTTCAAGATCTTTTGCTAATTTTTCTGAGCATTCTGACAGAGTTTTGCCAGTGCGAATGAAAGCAATGTCGTCTGCATAGCTATAGACGCATCTTGGGTTTGCGAGACTTATCAAAGGTTCGATGTACAGCATAAAGAGTATTGGTGATACGGGAGATCCTTGAGGGAGACCGCAAATCAGTGGTGTCTCTTGGGTGAAAAAATCCCCTATGCGAATTCGGGCCGATCTGTTGGTGACGAATGATTCTACCCAGCCTATGAGCCATTTAGGCCATCTTTGTTCTCTGAGTCTATATTTGAGCCGCCCCGGAAGGACTGTATCGAAGGCTCCTTTGATGTCCATGGTTAGTAGTGAGGCAACTTTCCTTTGCGAGCGAGCTTTCTCAATGTCGTGAACGAGGCAACCGACGAGATCAGTGGCTGATCTTTTTGGAAGTGCCCCAAATTGTTGTTGGCTTAACACGTTTTGTGTGATGGCCGCGTGACTAATTCTTCTAGCCATCAATCTCTCGAGACCTTTGCCTAGGCAAGACAGAAGGGCAATGGGACGCCATGATTTTGGTGAGCTGAGATCCCTCTTATTTGGTTTTGGAAGAAAGATAACTTCTGCTCTGCAAAATGCACTAGGGTGGTGGCCTTGGCTTAAGCACCGACGAAAAAGTAGAAGTACCGCATATTTGATGCTGTCCCAACAGGCCCGTAATATTTGAGTAGTGATGCCGTCGATCCCTGGGGCGGTGTTGCCCGCGTAGAGTACACACTGCTCAATCTCATCTAATTCGACTAGTGCGTCTATGTGCAGTTCATCCTTGGTGACTGTTGGTTCTAGCTCTAGGCTAATATCCTCCTCATTCGATCTCCTTTCTAGTAGAGCCCGACTGAGAGCAGATGCTTTACCGCTAGGGTCTGTGAACGTACTTCCGTTGTGTTTTATAGGGGGTGAGCCGAAAGATCCATTATATTTATGCCAACTAGTGATTTTGAAGATATCCTTAGGTTGGCGAGCCTCTTCTACCTTTTTCATCCAAAATTCCTTCTTAGCTGCCCGTGTAGCTTTCCGCAAGGCGTGTTTCTCTGTTGTGGCTTCGCCTCGCCTTCTAGCCCTCCGATATTCTGCAGCCTTGTTTGCACACTCCTTATTCCACCATTTGGTCCCGTTCCCGGATTGAATCTTCCTGGGTAAGAATCGCTGCATATTGACCTGGATGATTTGGGTTATCAAGTTTGTGAGCCTATCAACATCCTGTGGTAGGTACTCGGCGGTCGGGAGAGTTTCTTTGACTCCGGCAGCGAAGTGTGGAATGCTCTCGGGCTTTAGACTAAACTGGACTCTAGGGGAGTGCAGCTTGAGCCTAGTGCATGGAACTATGGACACAAGTGTCTCATGGTCTGATGTTGTGTGTAGATGCTCCTCGATATTACATTGGACGTGAGGGTTGTTGGTGAACGCTAGATCAAGAGTGTTGCCTCTGCTGTGTGTGCTCTTATCAATTGGTGATGTGAGAACTAGATCGTTTGTTTGGGCCCAATCGGCTAGTTCTATAGACTTTCTCGAAGCTGTTGCACGGGAATCCCAGAGCGGATGTCTCGTATTGAAGTCCCCCGCTACTATGTAATTAGGCGGCACCCGGAACTCTTTAAGAGCGCATATTACGGCACCTCCTTCTGTTTCTTGAGGTGGTCTGTATACGTTGGCGATCGTGATTGAGGGCGTAAAACCCATTATTGTGACCCAGCAGATGTCCGCGGTGTTTGCCGGGCGGATTTGAACGGCCTGAAGCCCTCTGCCTTTCCTGACGTACGTTAATACGCGTGGCCTCACTTCCCAGTGATCTGTTGGGCTGAAAGTATCGAAGTCGGCGTGTGTTTTGGTAACTTTCTTTCCTAGGTCCGGAAAAATCCAAGGTTCTTGTAGTATGATTATATCGGCTGACTCAGCCCTTGCTAAGGCTAAGGCGAGGTCATGACTGGGTTGCCCTCGGGCAACATTGGCCTGAAATATTTTCAGGTATCCTTTATGTCTTCTGTTATTTGTGTCTAACATTGAGTCGGGGCAGAGGGGGTCTCTGTTGCGTGAGTTGAGGGGTTGACTAGTTGCCAAGCACGATGTCCAGCTTGTCGGATCCTTTTGAGTTCTGGTTAAGTGAGTGGCCTGATTATTCCTCCTCTCACTACCGGTCGAGCTGGGCAGTAGCTTTCATCCGCAGGGTGTGGTCCTTTACAGTTTGAGCATTTTGGGGCTGCCTGACATGATAAGTGACCAGTTGTTCCGCATTGTTTGCATTTAGGTTCCTGATTACAGATTCTTGCGTCGTGGAATCCCCAACACTTGGGGCACTGGGAAGGTCTAGGTGATTTTGTAATTTTCCGGGCGATAGAGCTTGTGCAGAAAATTCTAAAAGGACGAATGGATTGCTTAAATGAGGCCACAATTGTGCCGGTTGGGGCTAGGTTTTCGTTGGACTTTCTCGACCATGCTATCTTGACTGGCGTAAACCCTGTGACTGATTGGACTTCTTCCCGAGCATAGTCTTCTGTTACGTTCCATCTGGTACCGTCCAGAGAATGGAGTTTCCGTGGTACGTGGTCAATGATGTATGTATGCCATTGCTCTGCTTTCTCAACTATTCCTCCGAGAGTAGCCGTAATTTCTTGTGACTTGGTCAAAATCTGTTCCGCTTGTTTCTCATTTGTAGGCACGAGAGCGATGCCCGACTTAACTTTTTGAACTGTTTTTAGAGAGTCGTGCTCCAGTTCTAGATTCTTAGTTAACGCTGCCTTGACGGCGTGAACATGATGAGCACGGCTGGGATGATCCTGGGGGAGCCGGATAAAGATTCTGTTGTCAGTCTTTCGGATCTGGTCTGTTCGAGGTGTAGTTGATAGAATTGGTTTTTCCGGGAGATTTAAGCTCGAGTTACTGACCGTCTGACTTCTTGTTACCTGAGCATAGGTGGGCGCATGTCCATTTTGCAACTGTCCTGGGGTAAGTTGTGACTGCGAGGTCCTTTGTTGTTGTTGGTTGACGTGACTGAAATTAGTCTCTCCCCTTGCAAATTGCTGCAGAATCCGAGCAATCGCTGATGTGAGATTGTCAGTGAGATATTCCAAGCCCGTTTCGCGTAGGCGCCCGGTTGCATCGTCCAGTGCTTTGGAATATTCCCTAGCAATACCTTCTCGTTTGAAAAATAACTTTCGGACTTCGTCAAGTGCTTCGTCGGTAGCTTGGGCGAGTGAATTGACTGGGGGGTTTGAAGTCTGGGGTGGCGTTTCCGTGGTAGGGGCTGAAGAGTCAGTGACTGCCACGGGCTGAGGGTCCTTGGCACCAGCAGGAAGGTCGTTTCGAAGCTTTCGTTTTGGCGGGTTTAAATTCGGATACAGTGAGGGGGGAGGTGACGCACGCGTGGGCGGCACTGGTGGCAACATGTCAACGTCACCGTCGACAGACGCCATAGCTCTAAGAGAGCTATTCTAAGAGCGTTTTGATAGAGGGTTAATGAGCAGAAAATATATAGATTATTTGCTGAAGATTGCGCGTGTGTAATTGCTATTAAAAACATCTGCAGAGAAATCAAATGCGAAAAGTCACTCTTAAATTCACGTGATCTAAAAATGCATTAATTGTATCTTAGCATCATGGCATCATAACAAGCGCGTTGATCCAGCTAAACCTGCCTCATTTTATTCATAACTATACTTCTAGGTTGTTCATCAATCCGACATCCTAAATTTCAGATGCGTTGAGAAATCCTGTGAAATTAGACTCGTGGAGCAACATATACTCAAAAAGACTTGTGCTTCTATGACTATGACTATCATACCAGAACCGAACAATGATAATGCCAAAATTGGACCAGAGATTGTAGACATTCAGACCGAGGTATAGTGAAATATGGATATAGCATAGTTTTATTTCAGTGTTCACTGATTTTGACAAAGGGTCTTAGTTTTCTAGCCTTATCTGGAGAATCCAAAGTGCAGCTACTTCCTACTCCATGGCCTCCACAGAAATTACCTCCACCAAACGCATCACTCTTAGCTACTGCTACTAAAAGGGGACTTGTTGCCGCTGTCGGTCCCGATTCGCTTATCTTGGCAACAACGCAATCAGTTAGAGATGCCTATGATGGAACCGGGCCCAGTGTAGGCAAGCTGAAGAAATTTGAGCCACAAATAAAGATGCTCATGGAGACACGGATATCTCAACTTGTATTTACCTCAGACGAGACTTACCTAGTCCTGTCTGCTGAAACTGGAGGCGGATTAGCCGTATACGATGTTCAATCACTCCTAGACGGATCGCAGCAAGCTTTATTTGAATTGCCAACCAATGGAGAAGCCTTAAGATGCATCGTACCTAACCCGAGCCCCGAAAAAGGAGAATTAATAGCTCTTGTAACCGCAGGTGGGGATCTTATGATCGCTAATTTGAAGGGACGAGAATACATATCTAGTCCACAAGGCTCGGTTTTCAAAAAGTGCGTCAGCTGTGTATCCTGGAGCACCAAAGGGAAGCAATTAGTTGCAGGGCTCGGTGATGGAACTGCTTTTCAGATGACACCAGAGGGTGAAGCTAAAGCAGAGATCCCTCGTCCGCCAGGTATTGACTTAATCGATCATGGTAAGTGCAACCTTATATGCTCAACCGTCAATTGGCTTATTGAATAAGTTTCCTCTATACTATGGCTCGAAAATCATATGTTCATAATCATTCACACCCCATCCCAGCTTGAGGCTAGCAGCGCTCCGTCTCCAAAATTTCATCTCGTAACAAGGACGCAAAACCTACAAAATTATATCTTTCAAAAAATTTCAGATCCCGCACAACCATTCGGCCTTCATCGTAATCCTCCTCATCACTTTATATTGCGACTTAGAGATTTTCCACCCAACATCCAAGACATAGTTATTGTTGCATCCACTGCCTCCACAGATATTGGGCTTTTGACTAGATGCAAGACACCCTTAACTAACGAAAAGCCGGCTGCAGAAATAACGGGTGTATTTACTATGACTGAAATGTGTGATGACGCTCGCCGAGCTCAGCTTCCTCTTTCTGCAGAGCTTAGTGACACTTCTCCAATTGGTGTATCACTTGATCTGTCGAGTAAAGATATGGTCCCAAAACCTATACCAGGTGATGAAATTGACGAATCATTCACACCTTTACCAGCACTTATGGTACTCAACAACGAGGGCGTGTTAGCTTCATGGTGGATAGTCTACTCTGATTCAGTAAAAAATCGCACTGTCTACCCTGGACTTGATTGCGCAAAATTAGATACACGAACCCCGCATAAATCAATCGAACCCTCTTCTAGCTCTAGCTTTGTGCTGCCCACGGTAAATTCTGCCTCTTGTTTTCCTTCCACGCATCAAACTGGAGGTCAATTTGGAAGCCCAACAGCCCTCGCTCAGTCTAAATCACCTTGGATAATATCGTCTGCTGCCAATGGTTTTCAAGGTACTAACCCAAGTTTTGGATTACCTAATATTGGCTCTAGTTTCACGTCAACACATATACCTGCCTTCGGAAAACCGGCGTTCGAAGCTCCATCCTTTGGCAAGCCTGCGTTCGGGGCTACTAGTGAATCTTCTACAGCTTTTAATTCCACGTCAACACAAGCACCTGCATTTGGAAAACCAGCGTTTGGAGCGCCATCCTTTGGTACGCCTGCATTTGGGGCTACTAGTGAATCTTCCACAGCTCTTAATTCCACGTCAACGCAAGCACCTGCATTTGGAAAACCAGCGTTTGGAGCGCCATCCTTTGGTACGCCTGCATTTGGGGCTACTAGTGAATCTTCCACAGCTCTTAATTCCACGTCAACGCAAGCACCTGCATTTGGAAAACCAGTGTTTGGAGCGCCATCCTTTGGTACGCCTGCATTTGGGGCTACTAGTGAATCTTCTACAGCTCTTAATTCTACATCAACACAAGCACCTGCATTTGGAAAACCAGCGTTTGGAGCGCCATCCTTTGGTACGCCTGCATTTGGGGCTACTAGTGAATCTTCTACAGCTCTTAATTCCACATCAACACAAGCACCTGCATTTGGAAAACCAGCGTTTGGAGCGCCATCCTTTGGTACGCCTGCGTTTGGTACATCCGCAATGACTGGATCTGGAATCAAAGCTTCTATATGGGGTACTAGCGAAAGTAAGAATCAATTTAGGGCACCGAGTAATACGACTGATCACAAAATGAATCCTCCGACAGCACAATTGACTTCAAACATTTCAAGCTTTGGGCCGTCGCCAACTAGTTGTTTTTTACCACACGAGTCAAAAACTAGTCCTTTAGGAAGTGGATTAGATACAACTAGCAATCAAACTAAGAATCAAGAATCTAATTTGTCAAATTCTGGTCAGCTTAAAAATCCAGGTAATATGGAACTCACTAGCCAGTGTAGTCTTGAGGGGTTTGTGCTTGGAACCACTTTCAAGGCTGATCCTGCTTCCAAAGATGATCTAGATAGAACACTGTCAAGTAACTCAACTGATTTATTTGGTAATGATTTTCGGGACTGCTTGACTAGTTCTATTGATAATAGGGTCGAAATAGCTCTTGGATTAAGGGAATCCCCAGAAACAGTCGATAAGATAGCAGGAAAAAAAATCAAGGAAGCTGGAGCTGAACCAATGACACCAAGCACAATTCGAAAGACTGTCAGAAGTCAATCTACCGTTTTCGAAGAAAATCCACAAGCTACAGTATACTCTACGCCCTTAAGCAAAAGTATTAGATCACCTGAAATCGGAGTTACATCATCGAAAAAAAATGAATTATCAAACATATCTCCTGAATCAAATAATAGTGACTCTCAGCAGTTGTATCAAAAGGCTCAAGCCCAGGATACTTATCTAAATAGCACAAAAAGCAAAAAGTTTCGTAAAGATCAAAATGATGAATGTCTTAACCTCGACCATAAAGACTTTAATTTTAACTCGCCACCCCAGCCTTCAGGTAAATCACGTACCCCAGATGATTTAACTGAGAGTCTGAGCATAGAAGCACCTTTACCTCCAGACTTTGTTAGTAAGAATGCGAAGTCTTCCATTTTAATGAGGTCCCCTCAAAGAACTTTATCTGAGCACAAAAGTTCTGTGACAAATGCATATTCTTCATCAGACTACCCGAGTAATTGTGTGGATATAACTGATAAGACTGGAGTAATTAACCAAAGTCATGATCAAATATCCCTTCCGATTACTCCAAAAACTAAGGTGGAACGACCAGATAGAGACTCTAACTCTAAAGCCAATACTTTGACTCCCAATACTTCAGGAAAAAAACTGGATTCGGGGTTTAACTCGCCGAATAATCTTTTAACCAGACCCGAGGAGGAGGATTTCTTTGAATTTTCAAGTAACGACGATGAAGATGACCCCGATGACGGTGATATAGAAACAGACGAGGGAAGCCAAGAAGAGAGCGGAGACTACTTTGAAAACGACCTAAGCCCTAGCCCAGACATGAATCAGACTGATGGACTCAGCTTAGAAAGCTCATACGGAATAATCAAAAATATTTCAACAGAAAGTGACACAGAGGTTAAACTTCTTTTCGGAGAAATCGAACTCCACCCCTCTGTAACTCAAACAAGCCCTCGCTCTCCAAGTCTAGGTCAAAAACCTGACATCGCAAGAAGAATTCGCTCTAACACTTCAAGGTCTGTAAGTGCTCCCAGCGCTGCGCCAAGATTAGTTGATCCTAGAAAACAGGCAAGTAGATCACTTTGTCAACGTCAGATTCCATCATATAGTCTATCTCTCGAAGAGCAACAAGCTGAAGAGAAGCGACGTAGTGAAGAGAGGGCACAGAAAGAAGCCGAAGATAAACAGGCTTTAATAGATCAAGATGATATAATTATGCAAAAATTTCTTGCCTCACGCCTTGAGCCGACGACACAACTATGTGAATTTATTGCCCATTCGGATTATGTTAGCACAAGTTCAATGGACAATATTCCAGCGCAAGTAGAAACTGTCTATAGAGATATCAATTCTATGATAGATACCTTGGGGCTTAACATTAGATCTATGAAAGAGTTTGTTTTAGGCCACTTAAAGGGGTTTGAAAGAAGGTACACGCGTGAAGATATGAAAGATGAATCGAACTGGGTAATTTCAAAAATACAAGATTTATCATTCATAATAGATCGGGTATTAGCTCAAGAGCTTGAAAATGGCCGGCTCAAGAACGTGTCTGAAAAGGTCGAAACTCTGAGTGAACTCCAAAAAGATCTAGCGAGACTTCGTGTGAAACAAAGCGAGATCAAGAGATCACTAACAACTCACTTAGACCCAGAGCAACTTGCCATTGCTCGGATACAGCCTCTCGGTGCAAAGTCAGCCGCTCAGCAATATAACCTTCGAAAGAACTTTACGAACTTCCAAAAACTCTTGGCACAATCTGAGGAGGAATTGGCTGTTCTCAGGGCTAAGATGGTTGCAAAAGGTTCTAGATCTCAAGACGGTAGCTCCACGGGGCCCACAGTAGAGGCAATCATGCGAACTATAAATAAAATGACAAATATGGCAGAAAAAAGAAGCGTTGATGTTGATGTACTCGAAGGTCAGATTCGGAGACTTCAGCTTGATTCACCTATCAGAACTCGAAGTCGTAACTCTCTCCTAACATATATGAACCTCACAGAATCTCAGCAAGTTCCAGGCGTCTTTACATCTCATGAGACAAACCACGCGCCAAAATCTATGGAAGGCTCTCCATTTAGGAGCTCGTTGATATCTTCATTTATTTCTGTGAACGAAGTCTCGCAGTCTCATCGGAGGTTGAACAGCTTCACTTCTGAAGAAAAAGCAGAAATTCGATCGAAGCTATGTCGTAGGAAAGAAGTAGCTAGTAAGCTCAGACAGTCTTTACGAAACGCTGGATTAAACGTCCGTCCTTTAGACTTTGGTAAATAATGCTGCCAAAGATAAAGTGATATACTAGATAGATTTTAAAGATCAAAACCCCACTGAGACCTCTCTATACACCTCAGTTACATCGTGAGTCTCTCATTGAGTCTCCTCAGTCTAAAAGATCTATAACAGATTTTCAATATTCCACCAAAGATCAATAGAAAGGACAGTTATTTTAAGTTAGGTGAAAGATTTTTTTTAGGAAGAGTAAACTTCATGGCTTCTCAATAAATTCTAATACCCCCGAAACTTGAATTTTTAAGGTCAGGCAATTGACTAATAGAATCAGTTAAAGTGATCTCCCAATCCGCGGTCCTGATGACTATAAACTAGAGAAAAAATTGATCTTATGTTGACAAAATCTCTAATAACGACGCATAGAGAAAAGGCTCCAATAATTTAGATTTACTCTAATGCAGGTAGTTTTTAGTTAAGGTCAATTATCAATTTACCAATAAATTATTCTTTTAAAAACAAGTAGCGAGCTGCCGTAGGAAACCTTTAATCTTCTACAATCTTATCAATTCGACTCTTTGCTAGCAGTATAATTGTTAATTGCGAACTTATTTCTTTCGCTAGGAAGTGTCGTGTTCAAGCAACCACTATGCGTGGCCAGGATTTTCCTTTCAACTCAATTTGTTCCCTTATTGTTGGTCCATATAGATTGTACAAGTAGGTTGGTCATCAAATGAGGACCACTGGATGGGCTTACCATGAATTCACTAGCCAGTATCCACACTGTAGCAATAAATCCTGTATATTCATCTATGAAAATATATAAAAATGTATGTAGGAGGTCAATAATTGAATACCTGTACGCGGTGTCCTCTACGAACCTGGGAGTGAAATATTCTCCCAGAGCCAAGTTCAGTCAAATTTGGCATTATCGAACAAGTTGGCCAACGAGGCAAAATTTCAAATTATTCCGCCATGTCAATCTTTCACTCCCAAAGAGTCCGATTCTCAACTAAGCTTCATCAAGTCTACAAGTACGACCTAGCACATCCTCGTTTCAATGACCACACCTCTCCTCGACTTTCTCTGGCCTCAGCCGGTCACCAAATACACGTCCACGCCGATATTTATACCCGACAGAGGAAGCAAAGCTTGGAGCCCAAATCTGGGAGATAGCTCTTTGGGATGGACGTGAGAGGGATCAGGACAAGTTTACAAGATGATATAGAAGAGGGATACATTCTCGACGGGCGTGAAATTTCGAATTTTGGCAAGAGTTTTACCAATTGAGCTTTATGCGCGCCAAGGCTTCGCTTGCGAGAGTGTAGCTCACACTATAAAAACAAGCAGACGATGGAAGTTGTTGTGATCCGCCTCCTGGTGGTGTTCTCTGGTATGGTTTGAGTAGCATGGGCACCCACTCCACTTTGGGAGACACCAAAGACCACATTTCGCGCGGAGATAAGTAAATGGATGATGAAGGCATGTCTGAATAACTCAGGGTTTTGAAGACGTTCCTCTGGGTGGGTATTCACAGATGAGGGTTGACATGGGGTGAAGAAAAGTCGCCATAACTTCGCAGTGGTACTTGCAAATGAAACCCGAGGCATGTGTGCTCTTTCCTTACGTTGAATCATCTATTCTGTACTTTTCTCTGATAGTGTGTCATAGCTAGATAGCTGCATACGCAATTAAAATCTGATGCAAAAAATTATAATAATAATTGTAGGTTCCCAAAGCAGTTTGGCAATGCAAATACGAAGTGAGCACATGGGGCTTAACTCGTATTTACACAGAAGAAACGTACCCGGAGTATTAAGTCCAGGTTGTCCATGCGGCTACCAATCACAGAACCCAAAGCACATGATTATGTCCTGCCCCCAATGGTCAAATGGTAGAGCTAAGATATGGAGACAAGCCAAAGATCGATCCTATGAAGCGATGTTAAATAATCCTGGAGATATAAAAAGGATAACTCAGTGGATCCTAAACCATGGTTGGATAGAGCAATTCCAAATGACATAAGCGGTCGAAATACTGCTGAGGGAAAGGAAAAGGTCAAATAATGCTGGGGGAGGATAGAGATGATCTGGTTAGTTTACATGGATGGCACTATAGTGTAACTGCGCTTCCTGAAGAAAATATGTGAGGACTATAGACAACAAATAGAAGGTGTGGGAGGTTTTCACCATAAAGGTTTCCTCCCGGGTAAATATTATAGACTGTAGACACCTGCATGGGCCCATAGGGCGCCAAATCAGGATAATGAAATCAAAATCAAAATCAATAATAATAATAATAATAATAATAATAATAATAATAATAATAATAATAATAATAATAATAATAATAATAATAATAATAATAATAATAATAATAATAATAATAATAATAATAATAATAATAATAATAATAATAATAATAATAATAATAATAATAATAATAATAATAATAATAATAATAATAATAATAATAATAATAATAATAATAATAATAATAATAATAATAATAATAATAATAATAATAATAATAATAATAATAATAATAATAATAATAATAAGACAAAAAACATCATTTTTGCCAGAAAGCTGCGCAGCCTTCCACGCTGCCCGTATCATCAATTTGACATCGTGATTCTTATTTTTACATCTTTATTACCCTCCTCCCATCTTTTCGCTTTCCGTGCTCCAACATGGCGAGTGTGGGTGCTGGTGTGGGTAAATCCAGCGGATTCGACGCGTCGCAAAATGCGACAATGGCACAATCAAACAACGGCGGCGGAGCGCAAACAGCTCCAAAGGATAAGAACCTGGAAATTTTAGGGAAACTATTGAAAAAGGTCAGACTAATCGTGATGGGAGAGGGGGATGAGGAGGACCTACCCTCAATGGAGGACGTGAACGAGGCCGTCAAGGCCTTCAACGCGCACAAAAGGGCCTGGACAGAAATGACCCAGAAGAAGTCTCCTATCGAGGAGAGGATGATGGCTTTAGAGGAAGTCGTAAAGAAAAGCCTCGCGGATCCCGCTCGGAAAGCTGCTCCAGCAGTGGTTTCGGGCGCGCCGACAGGAAGGAGTTACGCGTCGGTCGTAGCTCCGCAAATGGCGAAAACGGCGGTCAGAATAAGAATTGACGGCGCACAAAACTTGCAGCCACAAGAGCTGCTAACAAAGGCACAACAACACATTAAAGGCGCATACGCGATTCGCCAAATGCGAAGCAACGACACTGAGGTGTTCGTCCAGTCGGCGTCCCAGAGAGACGTGGCGCTAAACATGCGACAACCAACGGACTTCAAAATTCTACGGCAAGATTTTCCAGTCGAGGTAGACGGTGTCCCATTGCGGACACAAATTGAAGGGGGCAGAGATGCCAATAATTTTGCTATCATCCGGGAGATAGAGACGGCAACAAAGGCAAGGATTCCAGGCTTAGTGATAAGTCGTATAAGGTGGTTACACGACGGAAAGGAACACCAGCGGTCAAAGAAAAATGGCCGCACTCGTGGATCAATAGTGGTAAGCCTCCCATCGGAGGCAATGCAGACGGAAGTAGTTCGAAACGGCCTTGTGATGAACGCTATGCTCTACACCGCGCAGGTGTGGTCACCACGGTCACAGCCAAAGCAGTGTTACAACTGCAGCCAGTGGGGACACACGCAGGCGTCGTGTGGAAAGGCAGCCAGGTGCGGTGAGTGCGCTGGCGCTCACCAAACTCGGGACTGTCCGAGGAAAAGGGTTTCTTGTGCCAACTGCGGCAAGGAACATCGTTCATGGCAGAAAGCAGCGTGTCGGACCTACCAGGTCTACAAGGGGAGTGTGGAGAAGGCTCGGATGGAGCTGTTATCGAGGACGGCGGAAATATGGAACGAGAAATCTACGGTGGCGCCAATGCGAACAGTCGAAACGACTGATGATCAAGGATTCACTTTGGTCACCAGTAAAAAGGCTGAAGTACTCAAAAGAGGGCCGGGACGACCACGCAAGGTAGTCGAAGCCCCAGTGGCACCAACAATCCCCGCCACAACAGCACCACCATCGGGGCCAACTCTTCGAACACTTCGAAGACCAACGCCGAGTGAGGAGGTGCCTTCTCTTTTTAATTTTTCATAACGTTAGTCTGATTGAAGGGGGAGTTAACGAATTTCGAGGAAAGTTTACAAAATTGCGGTTGAAAGGAACGTCCTCAGCATAAAGCCGGGTCGGTTCAAAGTGGCAGGACATCGGGTTTTGTTTGTTGAAAGCTTTTTCCCTTACCAAAACGGCTTACCGTCTTCATGGTTCTGTATATAGATACCGCATAGGACGTTAAACTAGATCAATGAATGAATAATAATAATAATAATAATAATAATAATAATAATAATAATAATAATAATAATAATAATAATAATAATAATAATAATAATAATAATAATAATAATAATAATAATAATAATAATAATAATAATAATAATAATAATAATAATAATAATAATAATAATAATAATAATAATAATAATAATAATAATAATAATAATAATAATAATAATAATAATAATAATAATAATAATAATAATAATAATAATAATAATAATAATAATAATAATAATAATAATAATAATAATAATAATAATAATAATAATAATAATAATAATAATAATAATAATAATAATAATAATAATAATAATTCATTCATTCATTGATCTAGTTTAACGTCCTATGCGGTATCTATATACAGAACCATGAAGACGGTAAGCCGCTTTGGTAAGGGAAAAAGCTTTCAACAAACAAAACCCGATGTCCTGCCACTTTGAACCGACCCGGCTTAATGCTGAGGACGTTCCTTTCAACCATAATTTCATAAACTTTCCCCAGAATTCGTTAACTCCCCCTTCAATCAGACTATCGTTATGAAAAATTAAAAAGAGAAGGCACCTCCTCACTCGGCGTTGGTCTTCGAAGTGTTCGAAGAGTTGGCCCCGATGGTGGAGCTGTTGTGGCGGGGATTGTTGGTGCCACTGGGGCTTCGACTACCTTGCGTGGTCGTCCCGGCCCTCTTTTGAGTACT